GCCATGCAGTCCGATGGTCAGGGCGGTCAGGACGAGCTCTTCAAAGAGACCAACAAGGTCTTCGACCTCGGCAAGGGCGTCATCGAGATGGAGGTCAACAAGGCAGGGAGGTATGCCCTTGCCTTGCTTTTGCTTGGTTTGGTTTTGCATTTCCTGCCATTTGTTCGGCCTGCAAACTTCGCCAGAAGAGCATTGGGCAGTTCGCCTGCATGTGCCTTTGAGCCAGGGTGAGCCCGAAAGCCTAAGCCTAAGACCCCTCTCCAGGTGAACCAGGAGCTCGGTGAGATCGGCGGCGTCTTCGTGTCCAAGCAGCCCTCCGACACCGACATGGGCGCCAAGGCCCCGAGGCAGGCAGGCCAAAAGGGGTTCCAGCAGGCTTCGGCGTGAGGTTGTGCAAGTTTGTGGAAGAGCCCAAGATCCGTGGGCCAGCACAGTCTCAAGCCAATGAGTTGAATGTTCCATCTGCGCCCGAGCCCGGATTCCCGGCAGCAGGACTGTGCTGCTCAAGGGCATCTTCTACGGCAAGGTGGTGAACGCCTAGGGCCTAGGATTTTCCCCAAGGTTCCGGATGCCGGCCTCGCGAAGCCCCGAAACCCTGAAACCCGCAGCACCAGAGAGCCGAACACCACCGAAACAGATCGAATGTCTGGAAAGCTTCCCCAAGAAGGCCGCACCGGACAGGCGAGCTCGTGCAGGGGGGGGGGGGTTTTACCAGAATCCGTCAAACCATCTCAAAGATTCGTGCTTTGGGACAGTTCGCGATGTCCAGAGTCATAGACGACGCCCGATTTTGCGAGAACCCCCTTCTCGATACTGCACGATCTCGTACGTCGCTCTTTGCATCCGGTGACGGGGCCCCAAAAAAGACGGCATTTGCAAGGGGTCGCACTGTGCCTGCTACTCAGTTACTCAATGTGGACAAGCATTCGTAGCATCACCGATGAATCTGCGCAAAACATTAATTAGTCGTGAGTCGTGATATGAGAGGCCACTTCGTAGCCCACAGCGACAGCGGCCAACAACTGTGCGTTTACTCGTCTTGGCCAGATGAACGGGGAAGCCATTGAGCTTGCATTTGGCACTGCCGCGGAAGAGATCATAGGTTGGACGGGCAATGGGCATGCTAAAGCATGCGTCTCAACGTTGTGTGCTCGAGTTTTTTTCCTGCAGGGCGGTTTGTTTTTGTCTTAGCATCGACCACAATGGCACGCAACTCCTTTGCGGTGACCGCGGTCGCCGTCCTGGCCGTGGTCGGCGTGGGCAGCTGCTTCCTGACCGGTCTTCCTCAGGGCTCCCAGCCACCCCGCGCTGCGCCCAATGCAGCCGAGCACGAGAT